TGTTGGATTTAGGAGCCAGGTGGGAAATTTTTGTCAGTTTTCGGTAAATTCATGGGGAAGCGCTAAACTTGTAGGGGTCGCAGTGTCTGGGGAATGTAAGATACCGAGGGGCTGAGCCAAGGAAGGGGGTATTCTGTTCCAATTCCTTGAATCAAGAGTTCCCCGGCATAAAATCCCCCCCCCCCCCACTTGAAAAGGGGGAAAAAAGTGGAATAAGCCGTGTCTGGGGAGTGGAATAAGCCGTGTCTGGGGAGTGGAATAAGCCGTGTCTGGGGAGTGGAATAAGCCGTGTCTGGGGAGTGGAATAAGCCGTGTCTGGGGAGTGGAATAAGCCGTGTCTGGGGAGTGGAATAGGCCGTGTCTGGGGAGTGGAATAAGCCGTATCTGGGGAGTGGAATAAGCCGTGTCTGGGGAGTGGAATGCTGTATAATCCTCCGGGTTTAGCGCTTCCCCTTGAGTATAATAATAATGGGGAGTGGAATAAGCCGTGTCTGGGGAGTGGAATAAGCCGTGTCTGGGGAGTGGAATAGGCCGTGTCTGGGGAGTGGAATAGGCCGTGTCTGGGGAGTGGAATAGACCGTGTCTGGGGAGTGGAATAAGCCGTGTCTGGGGAGTGGAATAGGCCGTGTCTGGGGAGTGGAATAAGCCGTGTCTGGGGAGTGGAATAAGCCGTGTCTGGGGAGTGGAATAAGCCGTGTCTGGGGAGTGGAATAGGCCGTGTCTGGGGAGTGGAATAAGCCGTGTCTGGGGAGTGGAATGCTGTATAATCCTCCGGGTTTAGCGCTTCCCCTTGAGTATAATAATAATGGGGAGTGGAATAAGCCGTGTCTGGGGAGTGGAATAGGCCGTGTCTGGGGAGTGGAATAAGCCGTGTCTGGGGAATGGAATAAGCCGTGTCTGGGGAGTGGAATAAGCCGTGTCTGGGGAGTGGAATGCTGTATAATCCTCCGGGTTTAGCGCTTCCCCTTGAGTATAATAATAATGGGGAGTGGAATAAGCCGTGTCTGGGGAGTGGAATAAGCCGTGTCTGGGGAGTGGAATAGGCCGTGTCTGGGGAGTGGAATAGGCCGTGTCTGGGGAGTGGAATAAGCCGTGTCTGGGGAGTGGAATAAGCCGTGTCTGGGGAGTGGAATAGGCCGTGTCTGGGGAGTGGAATAAGCCGTGTCTGGGGAGTGGAATGCTGTATAATCCTCCGGGTTTAGCGCTTCCCCTTGAGTATAATAATAATGGGGAGTGGAATAAGCCGTGTCTGGGGAGTGGAATAGGCCGTGTCTGGGGAGTGGAATAAGCCGTGTCTGGGGAGTGGAATAGGCCGTGTCTGGGGAGTGGAATAAGCCGTGTCTGGGGAATGGAATAAGCCGTGTCTGGGGAGTGGAATAAGCCGTGTCTGGGGAGTGGAATAGGCCGTGTCTGGGGAGTGGAATAAGCCGTATCTGGGGAATGGAATAAGCCGTGTCTGGGGAGTGGAATAAGCCGTGTCTGAGGAGTGGAATAAGCCATGTCTGAGGAGTGGAATAAGCCGTGTCTGAGAAGTGGAATAAGCCGTGTCTGGGGAGTGGAATAAGCCGTGTCTGAGTGGAATAAGCCGTGTCTGGGGAGTGGAATAAGCCGTGTCTGGGGAGTGGAATAAGCCGTGTCTGAGGAGTGGAATAAGCCGTTTCTGAGGAGTGGAATAAGCCGTGTCTGGGGAGTGGAATAGGCCGTGTCTGAGGAGTGGAATAGGCCGTGTCTGGGAAGTGGGATTATGGGAGGTAATGGGAACACTGGAAAGTAATTAGATTAATTCTTATTGAACCTGTAGTTACATTACTGTGGTGTTCTGTGAGACTGGTGCATCCACAGCTGCTGTTCCTTGAGACCTACAAAGCTGCTGTTCCCTGAGATCTGCACAGCTGCTGTTCCCTGAAACCTACACAGCTGCTGTTCCCTGAGACCTACACAGCTGCTGTTCCCTGAGACCTACACAGCTGCTGTTTCCAGAGACCTACACAGCTGCTGTTAACAGAGACCTACACAGCTGCTGTTCCCAGAGTCCTTCATAACTGCTGTTCCCTGAGACCTACACAGCTGTTGTTCATTTAACCCTACACAGCTGTTGTTCATTTAACCCTACACAGCTGTTGTTCATTTAACCCTACACAGCTGTTGTTCCTTTAGCCCTGCACAGCTGCTGTTCCCTGAGACCTACACAGCTGCTGTTTCGTGAGACCTACACAGCTGCTGTTTCCTGAGACCTACACAGCTGCTATTTCCTGAGACCTACACAGCTGCTGTTCCCAGAGACCTACACAGCTGCTGTTCCCTGAGACCTACACAGCTGCTGTTCCCTGAGACCTACACAGCTGCTGTTCCCTGAGACCTACACAGCAGCTGTTCCCTGAGACCTACACAGCTGCTGTTCCCAGAGACCTACACAGCTGTTGTTCCCTGAGACCTTCACATCTGCTGTTCCCTGAGACCTACACAGCTGCTGTTCCCTGAGACCTACACAGCTGCTATTCCCTGAGACCTACACAGCTGCTATTCCCTGAGACCTACACAGCTGCTGTTCCCTGAGACCTACACAGCTGTTGTTCTTTTAACCCTACACAGCTGTTGCTCCTTTAGCCCTACACAGCTGCTGTTCCCTGAGACCTACACAGCTGCTGTTCCCTGAGACCTACACAGCTGCTGTTCCCTGAAACCTACACAGCTGCTGTTTCACGAGACCTATACAGCTGCATTTCCTTTACCCCTGTACAGCTGCTGATCCCTGAGACCTACACAGCTGCTGTTCCCTGAGACCTACACAGCTGCTGATCCCTGAGACCTACACAGCTGCTGATCCCTGAGACCTACACAGCTGCTGGTTCCTGAGACCTACACAGCTGCTGTTCCCTGAGACCTACACAGCTGCTGTTCCTTGAGATCTACACAGCTGCTGTTCCTGGAGACACACACAGCTGCTGTTCCCTGAGACCTTCATAACTGCTGTTCCCTGAGACCTACACAGCTGTTGTTCTTTTAACCCTAAACAGCTGTTGTTCCTTTAGCCCTACACAGCTGTTGTTCCTTTAGCCCTACACAGCTGCTGTTCCCTGAGACCTACACAGCTGTTGTTCCCTGAGACCTACACAGCTGCTGTTCCCTGAGACCTACACAGCTGCTGTTCCCTGAGACCTACACAGCTGCTGTTCCCTGAGACCTACACAGCTGCTGTTCCCTGAGACCTAAACAGCTGCTGTTCCCTGAGACCTACACAGCTGCTGTTCCACGAGACCTATACAGCTGCATTTCCTTTACCCCTGTACAGCTGCTGATCCGAGACCTACACAGCTGCTGTTCCCTGAGATCTACACAGCTTCTGTTTCCTGAGACCTATACAGCTGCTGTTCCCTGAGACCTACACAGCTGCTGTTCCCTGAGACCTACACAGTTGCTTTTCCCTGAGACCTACACAGCTGCTGATCCCTGAGACCTACACAGCTGCTGATCCCTGAGACCTACACAGCTGCTGTTCCTTGAGATCTACACAGCTGCTGTTCCTGGAGACCCACACAGCTGCTGTTCCCTGAGACCTTCATAACTGCTGTTCCCTGAGACCTACACAGCTGTTGTTCTTTTAACCCTACACAGCTGTTGTTCCTTTAGCCCTACACAGCTGTTGTTCCTTTAGCCCTGCACAGCTGCTGTTCCCTGAGACCTACACAGCTGCTGTTCCCTGAGACCTACACAGCTGCTGTTCCCTGAGACCTACACAGCTGCTGTTCCCGGAGACCTACACAGCTGTTGTTCCCTGAGACCTTCACAACTGCTGTTCCCTGAGACCTACACAGCTGCTGTTCCCAGATAGCTTCACAGCTGCTATTCCCTGAGACCTACACAGCTGCTGTTCCTTGAGACCTACACAGCTGCTGTTCCCAGAGACCTCCACAGCTGCTGTTCCCAGAGACCTACACAGCTGCTGTTCCCAGAGTCCTTCATAACTGCTGTTCCCTGAGACCTACACAGCTGTTGTTCATTTAACGCTACACAGCTGTTGTTCATTTAACCCCACACAGCTTTTGTTCCTTTAGCCCTGCACAGCTGCTGTTTCCTGAGACCTACACAGCTGCTGTTTCCTGAGACCTACACAGCTGCTGTTTCCTGAGACCTACACAGCTGCTGTTTCCTGAGACCTACACAGCTGTTGTTTCCTGAGACCTACACAGCTGCTGTTTCCTGAGACCTACACAGCTGCTGTTTCCTGAGACCTACACAGCTGCTGTTCCCAGAGCCCTTCACAGCTGCTGTTCCCTGAGACCTACACAGCTGCTGTTTCCTGAGACCTACACAGCTGCTGTTCCCTGAGACTTACACAGCTGCTGTTCCCAGAGACCTACACAGCTGTTGTTCCCTGAGACCTTCACATCTGTTTCCTGAGACCTACACAGCTGCTGTTCCCAGAGAGCTTCACAGCTGCTATTCCCTGAGACCTACACAGCTGCTGTTCCATGAGACCTACACAGCTGCTGTTCCCTGAGACCTACACAGCTGCTGTTCCACGAGACCTATACAGCTGCATTTCCTTTACCCCTGTACAGCTGCTGATCCCTGAGACCTACACAGCTGCTGTTCCCTGAGACCTACACAGCTGCTGTTTCCTGAGACCTACATAGCTGCAGTTCCCTGAGACCTACACAGCTGCAGTTCCCTGAGACCTACACAGCTGCTTTTCCCTGAGACCTACACAGCTGCTGTTCCCCGAGACCTACACAGCTGCTGATCCCTGAGACCTACACAGCTGCTGATCCCTGAGACCTACACAGCTGTTGTTCATTTAACCCTACACAGCTGTTGTTCATTAAACCCTTCACAGCTGTTGTTCCTTTAGCCCTGCACAGCTGCTGTTCCCTGAGACCTACACAGCTGCTGTTTCCTGAGACCTACACAGCTGCTGTTTCCTGAGACCTACACAGCTGCTCTTTCCTGAGACCTACACAGCTGCTGTTTCCTGAGACCTACACAGCTGCTGTTTCCTGAGACCTACACAGCTGCTGTTTCCTGAGACCTACACAGCTGCTGTTCCCAGAGCCCTTCACAGCTGCTGTTCCCTGAGACCTACACAGCTGCTGTTTCCTGAGACCTACACAGCTGCTGTTCCCAGAGACCTACACAGCTGCTGTTCCCAGAGACCTACACAGCTGTTGTTCCCTGAGACCTTCACATCTGTTCCCTGAGACCTACACAGCTGCTGTTCCCAGAGAGCTTCACAGCTGCTATTCCCTGAGACCTACACAGCTGCTGTTCCATGAGACCTACACAGCTGCTGTTCCACGAGACCTATACAGATGCATTTCCTTTACCCCTGTACAGCTGCTGATCCCTGAGACCTACACAGCTGCTGTTCCCTGAGACCTACACAGCTGCTGTTCCCTGAGACCTACACAGCTGCTGTTTCCTGAGACCTACACAGCTGCTGGTCCCTGAGACCTACACAGCTGCTGGTCCCTGAGACCTTCACAGCTGCTGGTCCCTGAGACCTACACAGCTGCTGGTCCCTGAGACCTACACAGCTGCTGGTCCCTGAGACCTACACTTGCTATTTGAGCTCCTGTATGATTATTAATAATAATGGTTCTGGGTTATCCTAGGTAATTTACATTGTATGATAATTGTACTTGTGTATTCCTGTGCCTAAATAAACTTAATAAGCTGAGCCATCAAAAAGTTTGCTTGAATAGTGCTTTGCTTCAACAGATTTTAGCGGTTAAATGACATCATTGGAGGACAAAGTGACTGTAAGTCGGGCAGAGGTGGTGACAGAGATCCTGAATGTAACATTGGGTGAGGAGGCAGTAGACTTGGCTAGCAATGACATATCAAAGTCACTTGACACCTCTCAAGTTTCTGTAGAAAGTGAATCAATTAATAGGTATGTTCTTAATTGATTTTTAGCACCAGTCCTTTGTTTTGAAAGTGTTTTTTTTTGGTTTACTTACTGTACTTGAATTGAGTAAACATTCATTGGTTACCCATATATTTTATTTTTTCTTAATATAGCTGTTTGGATAGTCTGGGTGGTAATATTGAATCAGTAGTTATATTTGTGTATATTTCATATTCAGAACTCTATTGTATAAAAAAATTAACCAGTTACAGTACAATAATTAGACAAAAAAGTTTTCTGGTACTTTAGGGTTTAAAGAAATGGTGCAACTTGCTTTCGTGTGTTCTTTTGCATCTTATGCTTGGAATATTAAGCTGTTGCTGTAAGCATTTGCAGTGCTTTTTAGAACTATACATGTTATTGCATGGAGAATAATTTTTTTTTTGTTATTCTTAAGATATTGAGTTTAGATTTAAACACTGGTACTCTGAAAATCTGGACTGATTTATGGCATGGAGCACAACGGAATAAATAAAGATCTGGTACAGAGCAACAAGAATAGTGGAAAAACATAGGGTACAGAGGATGGGACACGAATAGCTAACGGTAAGACACTCCTGTAGCAACCATAGCAAATCACTGATGACTTCCTAGTTGTTCTCTTTCAGATACAGTACAACACACATGTTTATACAATATATACATCATATTGGCAGTAGCAGGCATGGGTAGTGCATAATATGTATGAGTGATGGTTGACTTGGTCACAGATTTCTACATTATAGGTTTGTCTGTGTGTTATCGTGTTTTGGCGATAACTGTACTTAAAATAAAATGATCTTATTTAACACTTGTTTTAGCTCTCGCTCATTAACACAACACATAAATCAGATGTAATATGATCATGAGTTGATTGTCACTTTTAAAATAAGCAAAATTTTCATATGAACACTTGGCTCTTATATCAATGAAGTTAATGTCGTTTCATTTATTTCACTTGTTATTATATGCCTTACTAACCACTAGTTCTAATGCAGTCTATGCGTTTGACTATAAAGTTGTGGTTTCTTTGTACTTGTTGGTAAATATAAGAAAACAGTAACACTATACCATACAAAGTGATATATGCTCTTGTGTCTCCAACCGAATATAAGTGCTGGGTGAATTAGCTTGCTTCTGCTGGCAGTGAGTGTATCTTTCTCTTCTGATACAGTGAGATGAAGTGCTTGAATTCAGTTGCATTAGACATTATATAGGTATATCTTCAGCATCTTGTATCCAGAATGTGTATGTGTGAGAGAGAATGCATATGTTGAAGGCCATTAGCCACAGTTCTTTAATTAGCTACTCAATTATTTTTCACATGGCCAGCCAGGCAAGGAAGGCACATTATTAAAGTCATGGTATTTGAAAGTTATTATTTAGGTCTTATACATAGTTTGAACTTTACAATGGGCTATGGTTTCATATGCAGTATAATATAATGTACTGTAGTAAATTATATAGAATTTACCAAGGATAGACCATTATAGTCAGTCAGTGTGACATACAGTATTTCCATTGTAGTAATGAGGATGTCAGTGAATATCAAGTAGTATCTGAATCTTTATAATAAAAATTTAAAAATTTTTTTTGTCAAATTAGCTGCATATAGGGTAAACCCAAGATTTAAATAGGGTGTAGAAAAATGGCTGGTAATGGCAGTTGTTGATGATGGTGTCATTATTGTGCAATGATTGTGACAATGGATAATTCTGTGAGCTACAGACTTCGTGGTTGTTTTTAATCATTTGACCCAGTGAATTTTGTCGCATTTCTGAAGTCTGTTAAATTGAGGGTGTACTGTATAAGGGTGTGTATAGCCATATATGCACCCTTATACAGTACACCCTCTGTTGTCATATTAAAAATGAATTGATACTGTACTCTCTTTTCTTGTGTATTATTAGATGCAAATGTGTTGTTAAATTAATAGATACAATATAAATACAGTAATTATATCTGCTTCATATAAAGTATCTGAGTATTTACAAAAAATTATCAACAGTATTTCATTCCAGAATGATACAAGTTTACTAAACCTAAGCAAAGATGAGAGTAAAAGACAATATACGTACAGTGGACCCTCGGTTATCGGCCATAATCCGTTCCAGAAGGTCGGCCTAAAGCTGAAATGTCCTAAAACCGAAATAATATTTCCCATAAGAATTAATGTAAATACAATTAATCCTTTCCAGACACCCAAAAATATTAACAAAATATACATTTTTTGAAGATTAATTATAGTTTTACATGCACAGAACAATGAGAACTAAATAAAATAAATAAATGAACATTTAAGTCACTATTACATACCTTTATTAAAGACTCTTGTTGGCTTATGGAAGACTGGGAGGAGGAGAGAGGAAGGATTGATTATTGTTTGGAAGGGGAATCTCCTTCCATAAGGACTTCAGGTATCAAAACCCCCTCTGGGGTTACTTCCCTCCCCGCCTGCTACACTCCCTGCCTTCCTCTTACACTCCCTACTGCACTCCCTGCCTGCCTGCTACACTCCCTGCCTTCCTCCTACACCCCCTGCTACACCCTGCCTCCCTATTACACTCCCCTCCACACTCCCTATTTCCCTGTTACACTCCCTGCCTCCTTGCTACACTCCCTGCCTCCTTGCTACACTCCCTGCCTCCCTGCTACACTCCCTGCCTCCCTGTTACACTCCCTCGATCCATGCTACACTCCCTGCATGTCTGCTACACTCCCTGCATGTCTGCTACACTCCCTGCATGCCTGCTACACTCCCTGCCTCCCTGCTACACTCCCTTTTGCAATATTAGCTTCCTTGATTTCTATTTTCTTTGCCAGGATGGAAGCGATTGTTGATTTGGATTTCCCATACATCCTGGCACGTTCTAGCACTCGAACACCACTCTCATACTTTTCAACAACTTCTTTCTTAAATTCCATTGTGTTTCTCACTTTCTTTTCCAAAGGAACTTTACTAGGAACTTTGGACCCATGGTTGCTTATTTTGCAAGCGCACTCAATAACCACAAAAAACAATGGATTATAGCTAAATGTTTGGATGAATGAGTGGAGGCTTCCTCACTCTCCCAGAGACACAGCCAAACTGACTCACGAACGCGCGAGTGGGTGGACGTGTCCAATTCGGCCGATAAGCGAAATAACGGCCGATAACTAGAATAAAATTTTGGCCGAAAAACCGGGCGATAATTGGATTGGCCGATATCCGGAATGGATGATAACCAAGGGTCCACTGTATGTACTTATTTACAACAGCTAGAACAATGGTAAGTTGTAGAAATGGTATCACATGAATCTCCCAAGTAGGACTTACCTTAATATCAGGTGGAGGCATTGAGGAGTAAGGATGTGTGATGCATTTCTGTGGTTATTTACAAAATATATCTTGTCTTAAGAAATTTCTTCTAGTGAGGTCATGGATACAACTGTAGAGACCTCCAGTGAGTCGGCCCTACAGTCACCGGACTCAGCCATTGGTGTGACTCCTTCGTTGACACCAGATCAAGAGTTCCAGAATAGAGTGCCTGAAAAGGTCATTTTCAAACCTACACACATGAAAGAAGACACACCAGAACCAACTAAGGTAAAAATGGTGGAAATTATTGAACCATTGAGACAAAGAGGAAATGATGAGGAAGATCGAAGCCTTATATCCGTTGTTGTTGAGTCAGATCAGAACCTGCATGATTTTGAACAGGTACATAGCTTTACTATAATAATGTTTACAGGACAATAAAATCTTAATTGTAGTTAGAAAAACATTTATGGTCATAATGCCTGGTAAACTTGGGTACACTATAACCTCAATAATCTACAGTTGGTAAACTTAGGTACACTACAACCTCGATAATCCACAGTTCTAAATTTTGGAAAATAACACATTGAGGTGTGGTTATAACATGTTTGCCAATCAGTATAACTGTGATATTTTCCCTGACTGATGAATTTAAGTTCTTGGAGAGAGTTAAAGAAAGGGTTATGTAATTTAGGTGATACTGTAACCCTTTGGAGACATTTTTTTAATATAAATGAAGGAAAATTACTAGCAAGTACTGAATATTAGCATAAAAATATCCATCAAGGATGAGTACATGGTATCAGAGTTAAAAATAAATTTTATGATGAAAGGCTGTAAATATTGAAGATGCAGGATAATAGGAAGAAGAATGGAGACATGATAACCACATTTAAGATTATAAAAAATATAAGGAAAAAAAAGTGGAGCTGAAGGGATACTAAGAAAATTTTCTTCACAGGATGGTAGATCAGTGGAATGAATTACAAGAGAATGTAGTAAGAACTACAGATATTTGAAGTTTTAAAAAGATTATATGATCACCAGAGTAGTGAAGACAGGCCACCATGAGCATAGCTCTGCTCCTGTAACTACAAATATAGGAATGAGTGTAGGCAAATGGTTTCTGGGACCTGATGAGCTGCTGGAAGTTGAGTAAGGTAACATTTTGTGAAGGGATTCAGCATTGCAATCTTTGATTTCTTTTGAAGGATGTCCCGAAATTGATTGATTGCTATACAATATTTTCTACAATAAGAGAATCTCCAAAAACTGCTTAACTCGAAAGATTGTCGATTATTGAAGTTGTACTGTATATGCTTAAGGGATGTAGGATATTGATCTATAGATAGTATTTAAAATACAGTACTGTATCTAAGGATAATTGTTTCTGCTTTGTTGCACTGGAATTTTTAAAGGCAGTAATAAATTTATTACAAGAAAGCTCTTGCAGCTATGTTAGATGTTTTCCTTTGTATTTTATGGTACAGTGTTGTGGAACTGGATTGGTATGTCAATACAGTACTGTAGAGGTGGAGTAAATGACAGATTACATGACTGTTTTTGTCAGTTATAATGTTTGGCCCAATGTATGGGTGAAACATAGTCATTAATAAAGGTAGCCACTGCATGTAGATGTTATTTACTCCAGTATAGTACAGTAGCGAGTTCTAGATCTTCGTTTGTGACAGTAATATGGTAATGGGGTGTAACAGTATTTAATGCAGAGCTGGACATTGTTTTAGATATTTCTCTCAGGACTGAACTTTATTTCCGAGTGAAAACTCGTCTGAAATAAAGGCCTGTCCTGTAGTTTTACCTGACAGTATTACAGAGTTATGACTGCATGCTGTAGTTAGACAACAATGTATAAGGAAAAGGCTGAAGTTACTTTACAACTTTCAGTCACAATCTGATAATAAATATTTTTCTTTTTAATAATACAATACAAGATTTAAGTCCTAGAGGTGGGAAGCACAGTAGCTGACTCTGAAGGTTGGGTTGGGATGTTGTAGCTCAGAGGGTCAAATGAATTATGTTGTCTGTGCTCTTCTAGCAAGACAGTTATTGAAGGAATGATGGTACATGATAATTATTCTTTGGGTTTTCCTGCCTTGGTGGAAAATGGCCAATGTGGTTAAGAAAAAAAATGCAGCATTCCAGTTGATGAGAGCTCATTTATAAAATTAGTTGCAGTATCCACTCCAGATGGTAACCCTGATTACTGACAAATACAGTAATACATATTTCTATAAATATCCCAGCTAGAAAATGCTATGATTTCAGTTCATCGTGCATGTTCTGTAATTAAAAACTGCAAAATAGCATAATGATGTTTAAGTTCCCTGTACATGCAGCATTTCCATGAAGACTTGAGTTACACCAGTTTCAGAATATCTATGTATCTAGTTTTGCACTAACTGCATTGCCTTCTCACAAATAATAGACTCCACAACACTGTCTCCCACTAATTCTTTTTCCTTAATCCACAATTATAATAACTTTTCCATCTCTTCCATTATTGGTGGCCTTTGTTTAGTTAGAAAAGTTACTCCTTTTGCAACATTAGCATCTTTGATTTGTTCTTTCTTTGTCAGGATGGATTAATTGTTGATTTATTCTTTCTGTACATCCTGGCAAGTTCCATCACCTTCATACCACACTCAAACTTTTCTATCACTTCACACTTAAATTCCATGGTGTTTGTCACTTTCTTTACCACAGGAACTTTCTTTGGAGCCATGGTTACTTACTTCACAGTTGCACTACAAAAAAAAAAAACACTAAAAACAATGGAAAACAAGCGAAATGTTTGGATGTATGAGCAGAAGCTTCCTCAGCCACCGAGAGACAAAGCCAAACTGACGCGTAAGCGGCTCCAGCTGGCGGATGGACGTGTCCCAAACTGCCGATAACCAAATTAACGGCTGATAACCGGGGGTCCACTGTACTTAAAACATACATATACTAGTATTTAAATTAGTAATACAATACATAAATAAACATTTAAATAACATTTAAAATCACATTTACATACCTTTAATAAAGAGACTTGCTGGCATCTGGAAGATAGGAGGAGAGAGGGAGGACTTATTGTTTTGAAGGGGAATCCCCTTCCATAAAGACTTTAGGTAACAAGTCCTTATCTGGGGTTACTTCCCTTCTTTGTCTTTTAAGGCCACTAGGACCAGCTCGAGTCACTGGACCCCTGTCGCACAAAATAACTGTCAAGAGTGCTCTGTTTCTGGAGTCTCTTGAAGATTTGCCTAAAATGGGACATTGTTTTGTCACTGAACATGTTACAGAGATGGCTTGTTTCAACTTGTTCAGGGTGGTATTTTTCCACAAAACTTTGCAACTTATTCCACATTCCACACATGTCCTTAATCACTGAAGAAGGCACCTTCACTCCTCCTTCCTCTTCCTCTGAAGCAAGTTCCTCAGCTGTGCTCTGTTGCTGTTCCATTTGAAGCTTTTGCAGTTCGTCAATGGTTAGCTTCACTTTAAAGTCCCCACTAGTGTTAGCACAGAACAAAAGAGTTAGCCTGTCTTTCATGGGCTTGTGTCCTGGCAGTGCCAGGATTGTTGATATGTTTTTGCCGCACATCCTGGCAAGCTCGCCCACATGTACGCCACTCTCATATTTTTGTACTATCTCCTTCCTCACTTCTATGGCATTTCTCACTTCCTTTACCAAAGGGCTGCCACTAGTAAGTTTCTTTGGGCCCATGGTGGCTTATTTCACAGTCACAATCAATAAACAAGCACTAAACACAAAGAATTTATTGTGAAATATTTGGATGAGTGTGCAGGGTAATGTTCAATTGAGGATAAACAGAGCTAGACTGGCTCATGATGCCTGCGTGGGCAGGCGGACAGGTTTGGTACGCCAGCCGAAACTCTGGACAAAATTTAGCCAAAAACAGCGGTTGAAACTTGAAGCGGCCGATACTCAGGGCGGCCAAAACTCCGGGTTCCACTGTACATGCTTTAAGGGTTAAAGAAGGAAAGGACATTTACCATCATTCAATTTCTTGCTGTTTCCAGAAATTCACTAACATCACACTTTTTTAAATGATCCACCGAATCACAACATCCTCTCTACCCATCCTTCAAAATGTAAGCACTGTACCTCTCACCTCCAGAACTCAAGTCTGACTTGTTGGTTTCACTGAATCCCTTCATAAATACTTTTTCATACATACAGTATGTGTAAACATTGTTTAGAAAAAAACTATGAATAAGATTATAGAAGTGTCACACCTAGTATAGTAGGTCAGTTCTCAGGAAAAGCTAACATGTAGCCTTGTCCTGAGGATGCTGGTTCTTTGAGAATCCTGTATGCACAGTAGTTTTTATTTACATTGTAATGGTGAATGCAACTTTCAGCAGAATTCGATTCAGGGGGATAACCATGTGAATTCAGAAGATGGTTATGCAGATGATGTAGAGCACATTGAAGATGAGGCAGAGGATACCATTAGTGACACTGAAGTGGTTTTATCGGCATCCATGCAGTTTCCATTAAGTAGTAAACGTGAGTTGCTCTTATTTTTGTAATACTCTGCTTTATTTGATTTTACAACTGAGCCTAGAATACTTGAGGCAGTGGTAGATGTTTCTGAAGAATGAGACACTTGTGCAGCACTTGGGTATCTTGATTGTGGAAATGTTTGCCAGCCATTGGCTTCACCAGAGAAGAATGGTGGAAGAGGAGGAGTGTGAGGTATTACCTCAAACCCTTTCCACTATTCTTCACTGTATTGGACTGGTAAATTCACTGGTTGACAAAACATTTCCACATTGAAGATACCCAAGTGTTGCACTAGTTTTTCATTTCTAATTTTGTCTGTTTTCTAAAGCATTTATATTCTAAATGTTTTTGTTGTTCAGATTGCATGTATCCAGAGGATAAGTATGACCTATTTGTGTTTACTAGCAGGTGTTCATGTGTGTTTGTGTGGCTCATTGTATATATAGTATGTACTTACTCTTGTATCATGATTGATGCCCTGTTAATGAGGTGCTACTGGGAACAGTGAAACCATGCTTTTCAATGGTAGTAATGTGGTGAATAATTGGTGATGAGCAAGGTTGGTGTAGTGCCATGTCTTGAAGTGTTGGTGCTTATTGTGTTTTAGATGATACTTTAGTAGTGTTGAATATCAAGCTGTGTTGAACCTTCATTTACACTACAACAACACTTTGTTGTAATTATGCATGCTTATGTCTTTCATTGATCATATTTACATGTTTTACATCTGCTCTCGCTCTGCATGTTGGTAACTAATACAGAACAGAATAGAGTGAAGAAGGAAGAGGTGAAGGTGACCAATGCCAGCAGACAATTCTCTTTGTTGAAGGGAGTGTGGCTTAATATGAACAGAGAAGGAATTATTAAAAATAAGTTATCCTTGGTTTAAATTGCAGTATTGAATAAGCTTTATTGACGAGCTCTCTCGCTATACGATGCTTGTGCAGAATGCTGTGAGATGAATTACTAGGATAGTGGTGATTAACCCTTTGACTGTCGAAGGGCCCAATCCTGAAGTTGCTCCTGGTGTCGCAAAATATTCGAAAAAAAAAAAAATTATTTTTTCTTATGAAATGATAGAGAATCTTTTCCCGATTGTAAAGACACCAAAAAAACGAAATTTGATGGAAAACTGACGGAATTACGCTCTCGCGAAGTTAGCGACTTCGGCGATATTTAAAAATCGGCAATTTCGCCCACTTTGAGCCCTATTTTCGGCTAATTCTGTTATTCCAGTCAACCAAACTCATAACTATTACTTCAGAAATCTATTTTTTCTATCGATTGAGCACAAGAAACTGCCCATTTACCGATTTCAACTACCCAATAACATGGTCAGAAATTTGCAATTTGGCCAATTTCACGAAAATTAAAAATACAACAATTCAAAATAAGGTCCAGAATGAACAATGCAGACATTCCTGGCTCTAAAATAAGATTTTCTTTGTTCATCAGTCATGTCTCCAGGTCCCTGTGATATTACTCTTGCTTTTTATTTTGAAATTTTATTCAAACAAAAAATAGAAGATTTACTGTTATGCAGACTTCTGCAATACTGTAATAATTGTAAAAATTACATCAACCCATTCATGACTGCGTATTAGAATGGCTATTTGGACATTTATTGGACAATGACATCATTTGTTTACTTTTGAACATCGGCAAAAATCAAACATTTCCTGTACTTTGTGCTCCATTTCCAGGTTCTTTTTATAGTAAAATTAATCAAAATCACCTCCATTTCTATAATATAGTTTCCATTCTATCATATGAGACCATGAAAACGAGAATACAACCACAAATACTATACGAAAATAGACCACAAAGTCGGCATTTTAATTAAAAAAAACGGTCGGAGTTTTTTTTTTCTCATTATGCACTGAGTGCTCCAGGAATTTTTTTATGTGGTGCACACTGACCACACAGACCCATTCTCTCACATGTGGGCCTACTAGCTTTCTCCTGCCTGATTTGAAGCCGCTAGAATTTATGAGTATATATACGTCAAACACGGTACCTCACAAACGTATATATACGGCCGCGACAGTCAAAGGGTTAAGGAATGATAAGGCACCATGTTAATGTAGATGACAAAATTTGTGTTGCAACTGTTGTTGCATTTAGAAGTACAAGACCAAATACACATGCTTAAAATGTTTTTCATAGGACTCGAATGTTGCAGGAAATTCTAGTCCAAGGTTTTTTTTTTTTTTTTTTAAGCATGTGAGGTAGCTCATTCTTTTAAGAAACAACAATTTATGAATTAGATAATTATTAAGTTATGGGCAGAGGAACAATAAATATTTAAAATATTAAAAATGACATTACATGTTGTAATAAAACTTTAGAAAAATTTCTCTTGGTTAGAGGATTTGATTCTCAAGGAAAGAGAATAAGCTTTGTTTTAAGTTTAAGCTAACCAAGCATGTACAGAACATTTTACCTGTACTGTACATTTGAATTGTCATGTCTGCATTTTTAGTAAGAGCTGTTGAGTGAGTGATAGTGAAGGTGTTGATTTCTTAATTTACCTTACCTTGGTAGGAAACTACAATTGGTAGTGAAAAAAACAAAACAAAAAATCCAGTATTTCTTGCTCTACAGCTGAACGAGAGGAGAATGTGGAGGGCAGCTTGCAAGTGGAGAGTGAGCATGAAGGCATCAAGCAAGAGAGACACTCACCTTTAGAGTCCAGCACTGGGGTGACCGTTGAAGTGCGGAGCCAAGTTTCAGTGTCTTCTACTAAAGAAGGTCAGTGGAAACTACTGATGGAGGGTAGGAATTTTGCACAAGTTGATGGTGTAAAAACTAAATTTTGACTTAAGAGGACAAATTACTGTGTATGGGGTGAGCAGCTGATTCACGTAATACAATACAGGAGGGTCCGTTTTTAAAGCTGTTAGGTTCCCAACCCCAGGCGATAAGCAAAAATCACCAGCAGGTGGAAAAGAGCATTTTTTCAATATCATATTCATCAAAAATGCCTGATAATGTGTTTATTCTATCATATATTAAGTTCTTAATACTGCTAGTCAGAGAGAAACAGATACAAAAGTAAAATAAATAGTACATACAAAACTTACCTTAAAATATGGTGACAGTTGCCCTTCCCTTACACACCATTGTGCAAAAAATGGTGGGAAAAGCACCAAACATAATGAACAATAACTCAGTTGAAAACCACCAAAAATGTGGAATCTGAAAAGAGGGTGTTGAATATGTTGGGGCCCCCTGTACTGTAATATAAAATCCTTATTTTAATGAACTAGTAGGGGGTAAAAGGGTGACTAGTAATGGTATTTGAGGTTGATAGTGATGGGATTGTCGTGATATGATTATAATAAAGGATAATTCTGTACCAGTAGATTTTTACCTACTTTCAGGAAGTCCATCTGGTTGTGACAGTGATGTGGAAGATAATGATGAACATAGTGAGAAAGAACCCTTGGTTTCCCTGTCTCAGCCCAAGTTAGCTGTTGTCAGTCGGATTCCGAGCTCTCTGGAGATGCCAGACACTGTCACCCGTCTTGATAATGCTCAAGGAAGCTCCGTCTTCCTGGTTGGAACAGCACACTTTTCAAGAGAAAGTCAAGAAGATGTTGCAAATGTAAGAAATTAGCATGTTTATGGGCTTATTTTCTTCACAGTGTTGTTTACAAATTAAAATGTGACATTTACTTATAAAAATATTAGTCATAGGTTTGGTGCAGTGTGAGCATAGCGTTAGTATGGTAATATTTTTACCATACCCATATTATGCCTATGATCAAGACTTAAGCTAACATGGGAATTTTATTAAAAGTATTCACTAGTGTAAAGAATATATCAACTGTTTGAATAAGTAGAAAAAAAAATGATAGGTTCATCATGGGAACAGTTGCTAGCTTTGTTTCCAATTCATTTTCCGTCACACAGGATGGAATGTATGCATGAAGTAATGAACTCTGTGAAGCTTAATAAACTTTAACAATGTATTTTATATATGAAAAATTAGGATTATTCTCAATAAAACTAATTGTCTCTTTTTGGCTCACTCTACTATGGTGGGAAATGATCCTTTCAGACCATAAGACTTGTAAAACCAGATATTGTTGTAGTGGAGCTCTGCAAAGCACGTACAGCTATCTTACAGTTGGATGAAGAAACCATTCTTGAGGAATCGAGAAGTCTCGACTTCAGTGAGTAAATATTGCACTTGTTTGTGATTAAAATATTGGCATTAATATTTAATTGTTTTCATCATTATTCCTTCATTCTAGACCTTCAGAGGGGTTGCCTTGATGGTGGTAAAGGGATCATGATTTTTGGAATTTGTGCTACCCTCTCATTTGTTAATTCAAACCTGATTGCCTCCTGTTGTCCAGGTGCAGCGTGTCCTCAACCTGTTCAGTGCTTCCTCATGAATATATTAGTAATCTTCACATTACAAATACAGTGGACCCCCGGTTAACGAACTTTTTTCATTCCAGTAGTATGTTCAGGTGCCAGTACTGACCGAATTTTTTCCCATAAGGAATATTGTGAAGTAGATTAGTCATTTCAGACCCCCAAACATACATGTACAAACGCACTTACATAAATACACTTACATAATTGGTCGCATTTGGAGGTGTTCGTTAAGCGGGGGTCCACTGTACTTAACTACTAACCAGCATTATTGTATTATGTTTTTTTTTCAACAAGTCGGCCGTCTCCCACCAAGGCAGGGTGACCCAAAAAAGAAAGAAAATCCCCAAAAAGAAAATACTTTCATCATCATTCAACACTTTCACCACACTCGCACATTATCACTGTTTTTGCAGAGGTGCTCAGAATACAACAGTCTAGAAGCATAAACATATAAAGATACACAACATATCCCTCCAAACTGCATTATGTTTAAGTGATGTACTTCCTTGTATGGGGAGGATATGAAACTCTTGATGCTGATTTATTTTAAACATTTGAATGAAAACAATAAGAGTTGTTCCAGTAGACATGTAAAATATAAGTATAATGCATGAAGAAATATTATGAATTGAGAAACTTGTTAAGTGTAGGAATTGCATGGCTTTTTTTGAGGTCTCTGGAAGAGAACTCTATTCATCTGTCCCCTCAAGGAAGGTTCCTTGATGTTGGTGAGGGGCTCTTGATTTAGGGAATTGGATCTGTGCTCCAGTTCCCCGAATTAAGCCTGAATGCCTTCCACATCCCCAGGCGCTGTATAATCCTCCGGGTTTAGCGCTTCCCCCTTGATTATAATAATAAATCTATTCGTCTGTACATTTAGATAAATTAACAGTGGATTAGACTACACACTGGTTTTCAGGAACAAAATTGCCATTCTGCTGTACTTTTAAAAATGAATCAAATTTTAATAACTTTTTTTAAAAATATACCTTTTTTTATTATAATTATTTTTTTCCAGAAAAGATGCAGATGATTCTGCGTCAGCATGGGAAGATTCAAGGGATTTTGTACCTTCTCCTACTCTCTGTATCTGCTCACATAACCAAGCAACTAGGAATGGCTCCTGGTGGAGAGTTTCGCACTGCTTTTGCTGAGGTGAGAATTTTTTGCTCTGTCATTGTTGACCATGGAGCACCATTGTGCTAAGAACATGACCACTGCTTACAACCAGTGTGTATGTCTAGTAGAACTTTATGAACTTTAAAGTTCTACTAGACACATACTCTGCTCTAGAACCAGTATGACAATATACTCTGCTCCAGGACCAGTAGGACTGTACACACTGCTCCAGGACCAGTAGGTCTATATACTCTGCTCCAGGACCATATGACAATATACTCTGCTCCAGGAATAGTAGGACCATGTATTTTAGAACTAGTATGACCATGTACTCTGCTCTAGGATCATTATGAATATAAATGAAATGTCTTCTTTCTTTCAACACACCGGCCGTATCCCACCGAGGCGGGGTGGCCCAAAAAAGAAAGAAAATCCCCAAAAAGAAAATACTTTCATCATCATTCAACACTTTCACCACACTCACACATTATCACTGTTTTTGCAGAGGTGCTCAGAATACAACAGTTTAGAAGCATATACGTATAAAGATACACAACATATCCCTCCAAACTGCCAATATCCCAAACCCCTCCTTTAAAGTGCAGGCATTGTACTTCCCATTTCCAGGACTCAAGTCCTACTGTATGAAAATATCCGGTTTCCCTGAATTTTTATTATTATTTTATTATCACACCGGCCGATTCCCACCAAGGCAGGGTGGCCCGAAAAAGAAAAACTTTCACCATCATTCACTCCATCACTGTCTTGCCAGAAGGGTGCTTTACACTACAGTTTTTAAACTGCAACATTAACACCCCTCCTTCAGAGTGCAGGCACTGTACTTCCCATCTCCAGGACTCAAGTCCGGCCTGCCGGTTTCCCTGAATCCCTTCATAAATGTTACTTTGCTCACACTCCAACAGCACGTCAAGTATTGAAAACCATTTGTCTCCATTCACTCCTATCAAACACGCTCACGCATGCCTGCTGGAAGTCCAAGCCCCTCGCACACAAAACCTCCTTTACCCCTCCCTCCAACCCTTCCTAGGCCGACCCCTACCCCGCCTTCCTTCCACTACAGACTGATACACTCTTGAAGTCATTCTGTTTCGCTCCATTCTCTCTACATGTCCGAACCACCTCAAACAACCCTTCCTCAGCCCTCTGGACAACAGTTTTGGTAATCCCGCACCTCCTCCTAACTTCCCTGAATCCCTTCACTAAATATTACCCTGCTCACACTCCAACAGATCGTCACGTCCTAAGTATCATTTGTCTCCATTCACTCCTATCTAACACGCTCATGCACGCTTGCTGGAAGTCCAAGCCCCTCGCCCACAAAACCTCCTTTACCCCCTCTTTCCAAACCTTTCGAGGACGACCCCTACCCCTCTTTCCTTCCCCTATAGATTTATATGCTTTCCATGTCATTCTACTTTGATCCATTCTCTCTAAATGACCAAACCACCTCAACAACCCTCTTCTGCCCTCTGACTATACTTTTATTAACTCCACACCTTCTCCTAATTTCTACACTCCGAATTTTCTGCATAATATTTACACCACACATTGCCCTTAGACAGGACATCTCCACTGCCTCCAACCGTCTCCTCGCTGCTGCATTTACCACCCAAGCTTCACATCCATATAAGAGTGTTGGTACTACTATACTTTCATACATTCTCTTCTTTGCCTCCATAGATAACGTTTTTTGACTCCACATATACCTCAACGCAACCACTCACCTTTTTTCCCTCATCAATTCTATGATTAACCTCATCCTTCATAAATCCATCCGCCGACACTTCAACTCCCAAGTATCTGAAAACATTCACTTCTTCCATACTCCTCCTCCCCAATTTGATATCCAATTTTTCTTTATCTAAATCATTTGATACCCTCATCACCTTACTCTTTTCTATGTTCACTTTCAACTTTCTACCTTTACACACATTCTCAAACTCATCCACTAACCTTTGCAATTTTTCTTTAGAATCTCCCATAAGCACAGTATCATCAGCAAAAAGTAACTGTGTCAATTCCCATTTTGAATTTGATTCCCCATAATTTAATCCCACCCCTCTCCCGAACACCCTAGCATTTACAGTGGACCTCCGCATAATGATTACCTCCGAATGTGACCAATTATGTAAGTGTATTTATGTAAGTGCGTTTGTACGTGTATGTTTGGGGGTCTGAAATGGACTAATCTACTTCACAATATTTCTTATGGGAACAAATTCGGTCAGTACTGGCACCTGAACATACTTCTGGAGTGAAGAAATATCGTTAACCGGGGGTCCACTGTACTTCTTTTAGAACCCCATCTATAAATATATTAAACAACCATGGTGACATTACACATCCCTGTCTAAGACCTACTTTTACCGGGAAGTATTCTCCCTCTCTTCTACATACCCTAACCTGAGCCTCACTATCCTCATAAAAGCTCTTTACAGCATTTAGTAACTTACCACCTATTCCATATACTTGCAACATCTGCCACATTGCTCCTCTATCCACTCTATCATATGCCTTTTCTAAATCCATAAATGCAATAAAAACTTCCCTACCTTTATCTAAATACTGTTCACATATATGCTTCAATGTAAACACTTGATCTACACATCCCCTACCCACTCTGAAGCCTCCCTGCTCATCCGCAATCTACTTTCTGTCTTACCTCTAATTCTTTCAATTATAACCCTACCGTATACTTTTCCTGGTATACTCAGTAAACTTATTCCTCTATAATTTTTACAATCTCTTTTGTCCCCTTTCCCTTACATAAAGAGACTATACATGCTCTCTGCCAATCCCTAGGTACCTTCTCCTCTTTCATACATTTATAAACAAAAGTACCAACCACTCCAACACTATATCCCCCCTGCTTTTAACATTTCTGTCATGATCCATCAGTTCCAGCTGCTTTACCCCCTTTTTATTCTACGTAATGCCTCACGTACCTCCACCACACTTACATTCTGCTCTTCTTCACTCCTAAAAGATGGTATACCTCCCTGGCCAGTGCATGAAATTACCGCCTCCCTTTCTTCCTCAACATTTAAAAGTTCCTCAAAATATTCTCGCCATCTACCTAATACCTCCCTCTCCCATCTACTAACTCCCCTACTCTGTTTTTAACTGACAAATCCATACTTTCCTAGGCTTTCTTAAACTTGTTTAACTCACTCCAAAATTTTTTCTTATTTTCATTAAAATTTCTTGACAATGCTTCTCCCACTCTTTCATCTGCTCTCCTTTTGCACTCTCACCACTCTCTTCACCTTTCTTTTACTCTCCATATACTCTGCTCTTCTTATAACACTTTTGCTTGTAAAAACCTCTCGTAAGCTACCTTTTTCTCTTTTATCACACCCTTTACTTCATCATTCCACCAATCACTCCTCTTTCCTCCTGCCCCACCCTCCTAAAACCCACAAACTTCTGCCCCACATTCTAATACTGCATTTTTTAAAACTATTCCAACCCTCTTCAAACCCCCCCCCCCCCCCCCCCCCCACTTACTCATCTTTGCACTAGCCCACCTTTCTGCCAATAGTCGCTTATATCTCGCGCGAACTTCCTCCTCCCTTAGTTTATACACTTTCACTCTCTCTTACTTGTTGTTGCCCCTTCTCTTTTCCCATCTACCTCTTACTCTAACTGTAGCTACAACTAAATAATTTGATCCGATATATCAGTTGCCCCTCTATAAACATGTACACCCTGGAGCCTACCCATTCAACCTTTTATCCACCAATACATAATCTAACAAACTACTTTCATTATGTGCTACATCATACCTTGTATATTTATTTATCCTCTTTTTCATAAAATATGTATTACTTATTACCAAATTTCTTTCTACACATAGCTCAATTAAAGGCTCCCATTTTACATTTACCCTGGCACCCCAAATTTACCTTACACTCCCTCCATAACATTTTTACCCACTTTAGCATTGAAATCCCCAACCACCATTACTCTCACACTTGATTCAAAACTCCCACGCATTCACTCAACATTTCCAGAATCTCTCTCTCTCCTCTACACTTCTCTCTTCTCCA